CGATATGTATGTTCGATTCCAAAGAAATTTGGAATATGTAACGGGATTTTGATTAGAAAATAAATTACTCAAATTATATTAAAATCGGTTCAGATTTGGATATAGCTCCCATATATATTTTCCGCCGATTTCACATATTTGATGCACAAAACACGATACGTATTTCCGATTCCAACGAAATTCGGCATGAGTGGCTAAATTTGGTACAAAAATAAATTTGACAAATTATATTCAAATACGCTCAGATGTGACTATAGCTCCCAAATATATACTCAGCCTATTTCACATATTTGATGCACCCAAAGCGAGAGAGACAAAATCTGGCACCAGCAAAAATTGCCAAATTATATTGAAATCAGTTGAGGTTTGGATATAGCTAACATATATATTTCGGCCGATTTCATACATATTATGCTCCAAACACGATATATATGACCGATTCCAATGAAATTCAGAATGTGTGGCGGAATTTGGTTATAATAATAAATGTAATAAATTAATTGGAAATTAGTTAAGATTTGGATATAGCTCCCATATATATATTCTCGTCCGATTTCACATATTTGACGCACCAATTTCAATGAATTATGAAAGGTGTGGCGGAGTTTGGTGTAAAAGTAATTTTTTTAAAATTATATTTAAATCGGATCAGATTGGGATATGATTTTAATAAGATCCATTGACCCACAACGCCTAAGGCTAAAACAAAAAAACAACACAACAATTTATTTGAAATACGCTTATTACGGCGAAGTATGTTGCTATCTCGAATTCACTAATTGCAATAGAAATGCCACTCTACTTAAAAAAATTGCAGTTTCCTGCACGCTTGGTATTTGCTATGAAATAAATAAATCCAAAGGACAAACCCTTCGTGTATGCATGTCATGTTACTGCTTTTGTAATGATTTTGTTTGTTAACGCATTAAATTAGCGCAATAATTGTTCTTTTAATTTTTAAATTTGTTTTTCTTTATCCAACATATATTCGTAAATAAAATTTTGAACGCATATAAAATCAAAAGGGGTAGCGAAGCGCACCGGGTTCAGCTAGTATATATATATATATATATATATATATATATATATATATATATATATATATATATATATATATTGTGATGGAATTCAATTATGCTAATGTACTCACAAGGAACTCCTTGTGTGGATTTTCCAAATACCGAATATCGCGGGGTATCGTTATATGGGAGCTATACGTTATCGTTAACCCATATAGAGAATTCTCTGTCGGGGGGTAAAGTGCTCACAAAGAACCCCTTGTGTACAAAGAACCTCTTGTGTACAAAAAACCCCTTGTGACCATTCCGTTGAAAAATATGGCTAAAAACATCAAAATACCGAATATCGGGGGTACCGTTATATGGGCGCTATACGATATGGTGGACCTATATAGATAATTCTCTGCCGAGGTATAAAGTACCCACAAGGAACTCCTTGTGTGGATTTTCAGACAATTCAACAACATCAAAATACCGAATATCGGGGGTACCGTTATACGGGGGATATACGATATCGTGAACCTGTATAGACAATTCTCTCTTAGGGGGTAAAGTACTCACAAGGAACTACTTGTGTGGATTTTAAGACAATTCCATTGAAAAATGTGGCTAACATCATCAAAATACCGAATAACGGTACCCCCGGTTATATGGGGGCTATACGATATCCTGGACCGATATAGCCCATCTTCGAACTTGACCTGCCTGCAGACAAAAGAGAGATCTGTCCAAAATTTTAGCTTCCTATCTTAATTCGGTTAGACTGTAGCGTGATTACAACAGACGGAAAGACGGACGGACAGGGCTAAATCGTCTTAGAATTTTACGCTGATCAAGAATATATATACTTTGTTGGGTCTAAAATGATTATTTCGATGAGTTACAAACGGTATGACGAACTTAATATACCCTCCATACTTTTTTTGGTGTAGGGTATAAAAATACACAGCAATTAAATTGTGGATAGATTATTAACTAATTATTATTTAATTAACTAAGAAAGACCCACCACGCATTTGGTATGGTAGAAGGCAAACTTTACAAAAAAAAAAAAAACTACACAGCAATTAAATTGTGGATACGATTATTACGGGGAAGTATGTACGTTCATATATATTGGTACCTAAAATCCTCCTAATAGCAACAAAAATTCCGTTCAGCTTTATAATATGCCGAAGCGTGCAGACGTTGCTATGACAATTAATAAATCTAAAGGACAAACTCTTCGTGTATGCGGACTATATTCAGCATGTTCCCGTGAGGTTAGACCTATCGATATGTTTGTTTACGCTCCTCAAGGAAAAAATATTTTTGCAAAAACCAAAAAAAAAAATTGGTATAAAATGTTTAATAAATAAAATTTTGAAAAAAAAATTAATTTTTAAATTTACAAATATTTTGGTTTTAAAAAATATCAATTTTAGTTAAAATAAACTGCAACAAAGTCTAACGCCATAATTTTTTTAAATTTCATTGAACAAAAGCAATAAATTTCGGAAATAGCATAAAATTTTGGAATAAGTTTAGATTTGAAATGCAACTGTCACACGCTTTCCGATTGATGCTCTGCGGTATTTTGGTTCATTCCCGGCGAAGTGCTTGCTCGACACATTGGTATTTTTTAGTGCCAACCTTGCTTTCCAAAATACTCCAGACACAATAGTCCAACGGATTGGTATCCGGAGATTTTGGTGGCAATTGTGCGCTGGAAATGAAGCGAGGATCCTAATTTTGTAACCATTCTTGGGTGGCGCGTGCTGAGTGCGATGGTGCTGAGTCCTGTTGGAATGTCCAAGGTTTGCGGTCAAAATATTTGCGTGCCCAAGGCTTTAATACACCCTCCACAATACTTTCGCGATAATATTCGGCATTTATTCTGATGCCATGGACGATTAACACGAACGGAGAGCGACCAACGGCTGATATGGCGGCCCACACCATCACCATGGCCAGTGATTGGGTTATGGTGGCCAACCGAAGGTGCACAGTTTCAGCTGACCTCTTTGGCAAGTCAATACGATCATTTTGTTTGTATACAAACTGCTGGAAAAAGAAAGTTTTCTCATCGGAGAAAACCAAATTCGGCAGTTCACCACTTTCGGTCAAGCGAAGCAACGCTTTAGCTCTTTTGAGTCTATTTTCTTCCTGTTGCGCTTCTTGCTTCCGTTTGTAACTCATCGAAATAATCATTTTAGTCCCAACAAAGTATATATATTCTAGATCAGCGTAAAATTCTAAGACAATTTAGACCTGTCCGTCCATCTGTCCGTCTGTTGCAATCACGCTACAGTCTAAACAAATTAGGATAGGAAGCTAAAATTGTGCACAGATCTCTCTTTTGTCTGCAGACAGGTCAAGTTTGAAGATGGGCTATATCAGTCCACGATATCGTATAGCCCCCATATAACGGTACCCCCGATATTCGGTATTTTGATGATTTTAGCCACATTTTCAATGGAATTGTCTGAAAATCCACACAAGTAGTGCCTTGTGGGTACTTCATACCTCGGCAGAGAAATATCTATATAGGCCCACAATATAGTATAGCCCCCATATAACGGTACCGCCACGGTAATCGGTATTTTGATGATTTTAGCCACATTTTTCAATTTAATTGTCTGAAATTCCACAAAAGGAGTCCCTTGTGGACATTTTACCCCTTCAAAAATAATTGTCTATATAGGTCTACGATATCGTATATCCCCCATATAACTGTACCCCCCGATATTCGGTATTTTGATGATGTTAGCCACATTTTTCAATGGAATTGTCTTAAAATCCACACAAGTAGTTCCTTGTGAGTACTTTACCCCCTGAGAGAGAATTGTCTATACAGGTCCACGATATCGTATATCCCCCATATAACGGTACCCCCGATATTCGGTATTTTGATGATTGTACCCACATTTTTCATCGGAATTGTCTGAAAATCCACTCAAGGAGTTCCTTGTGGGTACTTTATACCTCGGCAGAGAATAATCTATAAAGGTCCACGATATCGTATAGCCCTCATATAACGGTACCCCCGATATTCGGTATTTTGATGTTTTTAGCCATATTTTTCAACGGAATTGTCGCAAGGGGTTCTTTGTACACAAGGGGTTCTTTGTACACAAGGGGTTCTTTGTGAGCACTTTACCCCCCGACAGAGAATTCTCTATATAGGTTAACGATAACGTATGGCTCCCATCTAACGATACCTCGCGATATTCGGTATTTTGACAATCCACACAAGGAGTTCCTTGTGAGTACTTTACACGCAGACATAGATTTGTCTTTATAGGTCCACAATATCGTATATCCCCATATATCGGCACCTTCTTATATTAGATATTTTAAAGATTTTAAAAGAATTTTTAATAGATTTTATTTTTTTTGAAAATTTTCTAAATTCGTTCCAAATGGTGGAGGGTATTCAAAGTTCGGCACGGCCGGACTTACTGCTTTTTTACTTGTTGGGATTTCAATGGCTTTACCCAGCTCATTTTTCAATATTTGCCGAATGGTATATTGCGATATGTTCAGCCCACGAGCCATTTTTAGGCCACGGCGACGCGGGTTTCAATCAAGTCGCCTCTTTACTTTGCGAAACATTTCAGCTAATGTTGCTGTTTTCTTCCGTCCACTTCCTTGACGTCGGGCTACGCTACCAGTATCACGGCAACGATGGTATGAAACACAAAAGATTTATTCACATTTAAATGCTACAGTGCTCTAACGATAGCCACCAAATATAAATAAATCACATTATCACGCTTGAATTCCATCACAAATAACTTTTTTTCCGGAAAATTGTCATTAAAATGGTTTTGTGCGCTTGTAAACAATATAATGAGCTGTCACTGGAATAATTTTAACAGCTGTCGGATAAGTGGCTTTGAAATGACAACAGTGTGAAGATGGTTACAGTTTTTTCGTCTCACCCTGTATATAACATTGTTGCTTATAAGAAGAGAAATTTACTTCAATTAAATTTTGACTATGGACACACGTTATTATAAAAGAATTTATTCAATGTTTTGGCAATCTACTGTTAACATGAACGTTTATAAATACATCTAACGATTTCGTATTACGTAGCATAACTAATTTGTACGCAATGCAAGGACTTGGTTTGCAAAGTATAAAAAAAAATCCAGCTGTAAGTAAAGTTATAAAATTATTATTCAGTAATAAAATAAATATACTCTTTTCCTCATCCTTTAATTTAATTTGTTACAGCTTATTCCGCTTTATGTTTGCGTTGCAGCAGGGGCCTGCGGAGCGGTCTATTACATTCTTCGTTTAGCAACTAGAAATCCGGATGTCACATGGAATCGGTCATCAAATCCGGAGCCTTGGCAAGAATACAAAGACAAGCAATATAAAGTACCAACAACTTACATAACTAATTATTATAAACTAAATCACATTATTTTCATCATTTAATTTTCAGTTTTATTCGCCTATCAGGGACTATAGCAAAACGAAGTCTCCGGCTCCAAATTATGAGAACTAGGAAGTATCTTAAATTTTCTCTAAATGGAAACATTTTTCAAAGCAATGTTACATAAATAATTGTTCCCGAAAGAGAACAAAAATATAACAACATAAAGACCACAAAATATCCGTTATAAAAAAAAGTGTATGTTTTTTTTATTAAGAAAAAGCTTCAGTTTTTGAAAAATTTTAATTTATTTTTTTATTTTCTCGTGCAAATATGTTATTTTAGAATAGTTACGATTCTATTACATGAGAGACTTGACTAATTTTTTCTTAAGAATATACTTTATCTCGCTTGTTGTGAATAACCGTCGCTGACACATTTTAAGTTTTAATAGAATTAATCATCTCTTCTCAACGAAGTTTTCCATAAAGATAGCCCCACGTCACATTTATTCATAAGAATCTTATTTATTTGAATTGAAAAATAAAAACTGCTGACTACTGGGACTTGCGTACCCAGCCTATTTTTAAAAGTAGAAAATTGTCATCTACAGAATAAAATTCCAATTTTGACTCCTTGAAAATGTGGCTTAAACACGGAATACCTGGTGGCACCTTCATATAAGGGCTATTGGGAACCACAGATTTTATTCAGTTCCTACTATCCCCACAATACAAAAAGCTACGAAGACTAACTTTGCTAAGCTATCATTAATTTTGTGCAATTGTCACTAAGGAACAAAACACAGTAGTAATATAATTTTATTACCAACAAATATACATTTTCAATGATACGTAATTAAATTAGGAACAAAGAAAACAAGTTGTCTGAATTAAATTTTTTCTCAAAGCCAAGGAAAATGGTACCGGTTTTCTGCAAAGTTGTTGTCAAAGTTTCAATAACCAAATTATCAGTAAAAAATGTGGCTAAAACCACTAAAATACCAAATATTTGGAGATATCGCCTTATGAGTGATACAAGAAATAATGAAACTATTCAAGCAGTCACCTGCCACAACATATAGAGAGGTACTGTCATATGGGAGCTATCAGATTAGGATTAAAGAAGTACAGTTATGTGGGACAGATGTAACATGTTGATTCGAGTTGTGAAAGATTCGAAAGAAATAAGGTTTTAGCAAACACTAAAATTCCAAATATTCGGAGGTATCGCCTTATGAGTGATACAAGAAATAATGAGAATAATGAAATAACAAAGAATAATGATCAGCATATCGAGATATATAAGAAATTGTGGACACATATATACAATGTTCTACCACAGAAGGTAAAACCGTTAAGTCTTTAAGTACTGATTTTTTTACAATTGTGTCAGAAATGTGATCTAAGCCGTTACAATACCGAATATCGGAAGGTGCCAGATATAAGCGCAACAGGAAAATGTGGACCTATATAGACAATGTTTTGCCACAAGAGGTTATATGAGTTATAAATAATTCTATTAAAAAATGTGGTTCATATTCCTTAAATACCGAATAATGGAATATTCTGTAGAATGAAGGCATATAGAAAATGTTCTGCCACAGGAGGTAGATCGTGCCGGAGGTGGGGGATTAGCGTTGCTTTTGGACCACTCTGTCTAGTACAGACCTATCACGCCTGAGCTTGACGCTAATGACCCTTACATGAAATGTGTGGAACCTCCGAGGTAGAGGTACTTATGTACGTTCCGCCGTTAAGTGGCTGTGCCCCGCGTTATATGCCCAACATCACATCGTTATACTCAGACCACCGCCCCGTTATCGTCGCCATCCCCACATTTTCCTTAACTACGCGAAAGCTAATTGGCAAGAATTCAAAGAATATTCCAAACACCGCTTCTCAGCAGAGGCAGCAGAGCAAATTATATTAATTACAGAATAAGGGAACTAACCCTGAGATAAACAGGTTATTTGACGAGCATAAGTAAAAAAAGTAGAAAGAACATCTATCGAATATTGGAAATGAGTTGATCGAAGACCAGTCTCATTGGACGGCTTTGAAGTAAGAGATTCGAAGATTTTAACCTACAATAAAATGCTGCGGATGCAATATTTGTTGGCTGTTGTAAACATAATCATCTCAATCACCATCTGGTGGATAGAAAATCTCCCAGGCAAGTAAGGAAATACATTCATGATCTGAGAGAAAGAGAGGTACAGAAATATCAGAGAGCCTCTTGATCAACTTCTCTGATTCACTCTTATGTGGTCAAAGCAGCTGAAGAATGAAAGTTGTCGCACCTCAGAGGACTTCAACGAATATGTTAGAGTAAGCTTGATCACACTTACTAAAAATTCAATCAGCGGGACAGATGTAAAATGTTGATACAAGTTGCCTAACGGAAGAAAAAAGATTCGAGCAAACACGAGTTGATCAAGTCTCTGTGTTGGTATTCAAACCGCTCACATGGCTGATTCATAGGGGCCATCATCTCGGATGAGTATGAATGGTGTGATTCAACTTTGTAGATTGAGTGATTTGATTAAAACACAAAAAATCAGCAAAATCATGATATGTATTTTACTAAGCATTTCAAAATCTAAAACAATATTTAAAAAATAATAAACAGAAAACTTATAATATTATTTGGCTTTTGTGCATATTAGACGCGCATTATTTCCTAAAATAGAAAAATATGGTTTTAAAAATAACAAGTAAAAAAGCTGTAAGTTTTTCCGGGCCGAACTTTGTATTCCCTCCACCATTTGGTACAAATTTGAAAATTTTCAAAAAAATAAAACCGTTAAAATTTTCGTTAAAATCTTAAAAATACCGAATGTAGCCGCATATTAGGGTCTATACGACGACGTAGACCTGCATAGGCATAATACCGAATATCGGGGGGTACCGTTGTATGGGGGCTATAAGAAGACATGGACCACAGACACTTTTCTGTCACAGGCTGTAGTTTCCATTACGAACTTCAAATGCGAAATTTGAAATAGTTCTGGTAAATAATGTCGCTAAAATCATCAAAATACAGAATATCGGGGGGTACCGTTATATGGGGGACCTACATGGCTCATTTTATGTCTTAGGGTGTAGTATCTATTACTAACTTCAAATGCGAAATGTGAAACAATTTCTGTAAATTATGTCTCTAAAATGATCAAAATACCCAATATCGGGAAGTACCGTTATACGGGGGCTATACAAAGCCGTGGACCTACATGGCCCATTCTTTGAAGCCAGAAGTCCTGCAGACATAATACACCTTTGAGTAAAATTGTATCAACCTACTTCATTTCGTTCGGAAGCTAGAGTGATTTCCACAGACGGACGGACATTGCTAAATCGACATATAATTTTATGCTGATCAAGAATATATATACTTTGTGGGGTCTAAAATGTATATTTCGAGGTGTTACAAAGGGAATGACAAACTTAATATACCCTATGGTGGAGGGTATAAAAAGGGACACATCAATTGTATTTAATAAACAAACAATGTTCAAATATATTTTGAATGGATGTTCCACACAAGACATATAGTGTAGTTCCCACTTGCAACATTTTCAGTTGCACTCTTACAACGATTGAATGTTTGAATAAACAATAATGATGAGCACTCTACTGAAAGAAACAAATCACAGTTGCAATTGTTAACATTTTTAACTACGAGTGAGATCAGAACTTAAAGCTTTTAACGGGTTCTACCTCCTGTGGCAGAATATTGTAATATCACTGTACCTCCCCAGTGATGCCAAATTATATTGTAATCGGTTCAGATTTGGATATAGCTCCCATATATATTTTCCACCGATTTCGTTCATTTGATGCCTCAAACACAATATGAATGTTCGATTCCAATGAAATTTGGAATGTGTGACGGGATTTAATCCGAAAATAAATTTGTCAAATTATATTCAAATCGGTTCAGATTTGGATATAGCTCCCATATATATTTTCGGCCGATTTCAAGCATTTGATGCACCAAACACGCAATGTATCCCCAATTTCAATGAAATTTGAAACGTGTGATAGATTTTATCTAAAAAATTGATTTCCCAAATTATATTGAAATCGGTTCAGATTTGGATATAGCTCCCATATACATTTTCGACCGATTTCATGTATTTGGTGGACCAAACACGACATGTATTTCCAATTGTAATGAAATTTAAAATAAGTAACGGAATTGGGAGCCAAAATAAATTTGTCAAATTAAATTGAAATCGGTTCAGATTTGGATATAGCTCCCATATATATTTTCGAGCGATTTCATGTATTTGATGCACCATACACGATAAGTATGTTCGATTCCAAAGAAATTTGGAATATGTAACGGGATTTTGATTAGAAAATAAATTAGTCAAATTATATTAAAATCGGTTCAAATTTGGATATAGCTCTCATATATATTTTCGACCGATTTCATGTATTGTATTCACAAAACACGATACGTATTTCCGATTCCAATGAAATTCGGCATGAGTGGCTAAATTTGGTACAAAAATAAATTTGACAAATTATATTCAAATACGCTCAGATTTGATTATAGCTCCCATATATATACTCAGCCGATTTCACATATTTAATGCACCCAAAGCGAGAGAGACGAAATCTGGCACCAGAAAAAAATTGCCAAATTATATTGACATCAGTTGAGGTTTGGGTATAGCTAACATATATATTTCGGGCGATTTCCTACATGTTATGCACCAAAACTGATATATATGTCCGATACCAATGAAATTCAGAATGCGTAACGGAATTTGGTTACAATAATAAATATGACAAATTAATTGGAAATTAGTTTAGATTTGGATATAGCTCCCATATATATATATATATATATATATATATATATATATATATATATATATATATATATATATATATATTCACATATTAGACGCACCAATTTCAATGAAATATGAAAAGTGTGGCGGAATTTGGTGCAAAAGTAATTTTTTTAAAATTATATTTAAATCGGATCAGATTGGGATATGATTTTAATAACAACTTTTGACCCACAAACACAACAATTCATTTGAAATACGCTTATTACGGCCAAGTATGTTGCTATCCCGAATTCACTAATTGCAATAGAAATGCCACTCAACTTCAAAAGATTGCAGTTTACTGCACGCTTGGTATTTGCTATGAAATAAATAAATCCGAAGGACAAACCCTTCGTGTATGTATGTCATGTTACTGCTTTTCTAATGGTTTTGTTTATTTACGCATTAAAGTAGTGCAATAATTTTTTTTTTTTAATTCTTAATTTTGTTTTTTTTTAAC